CCTTAGAGTCATATTCTGTGCTGAAATTGTGTGTATATATATATGTATAATTGGGGTCACAGGGACAGGTAACTCAGATGAGTCGGTACTTGGGTATCCAGAGAAGTGAGTGAGTGAGTTTAGTTTTACGCTGCTTTTAGCAATATTCCAACAATATCACAGTGGGGGACACCAGAAATGGGTTTCACACATTGAACCCATGTGGGGAATCAAACCCGGGCCTTAAACATTGGCATGACTAGCGAACACTTTAACCACTAGGCTACCCCACCGCCCTGTGGAGCTCCTAGACCCATGGTCAGTCGCAGGATCGAGTGTTCAGTGATAATTAGTCATTTTATCTCTAAGTTAAAATTACTAATCAGTTATTTTCTGAGTATTCACAAACTTTGGATACCTTCCACCCTTGCATATGCTCCCCACCAAAATCAAACTTTGGCAAATTTTATTTTCTATCTATTTTAACATGTCAGGGTATATTTGGAGAAAATTGAAAAAGTTTATTTGCTTACCAAGTTTGAATGATGAATATTTAGTAACTTGTTGTCTTCAAGTAAACACTGATGTATGTGAGAAAAGTAGGTAACAGTAGCATTTGGAAGGTCAAACAAAAAAGTCAGGGGATACAACTCCAGTGAAAATATAATTGCATCTTAATAGGCAGGTAGGCCTTTTCTTCACCCACGTGTGCTCAATATCCACTCATCATCATAATTTTCATGTTCATTTTCATGATCTTATGTAATCATTATGTTAATAACAGGTTACAGTCTCAGAAATGTATTTCTATTTTTGAATAGACCAGAAGACTAAATGATAATATATTTCAGTTGTCCTCAATTTGCAACCTACTTCTGCTTCAGTGAGACAAAAGTGTTTATAATGTTACACATTCTGTCAGATTTTATTCAGATCAAATCTTTTGCAAAAATGAAATCTTGAGAACTGCTGCAGAATTATTGCCTTCAGAGGCTACTAATGGGAACTATGTTCGTTGGTGTTTTGCTTTTCCTCTGCCAAATTTGGTATCCTCAGGGTGGAGGATTAGTGTGAATAACGGGACTGAATAGAAGCTTGATGATTGTTGTGGGGTTTGTCAGTGGAACAAGACAGCCAGCTGTGGGTCATCAGACATAATCAGGCATTTTTGTTGTGAACAAACTGTTCAAGGCACCTGTGTACATTAACTGTCATCATCATCAGCAGCAGCAGCATCAGCATCAGCATCATCATCATCATCTTCACTCTACCTGTGAAGATCCGGGTTAGAATGAACCTTCAGTAACCCATGCTTGTAAGAGTAGGACTCTGACAAGTACTCGGGGCCGAGTCGGGTAAAGCAGGACTCCAGTCCAATTAAATGGACTCGAGGACTCACATGGGAGATAACTCTAAATGTCTCACGCAATCAAGATGGATGATCGTGAGAAAAAATCCAATGTCTGGACGCATTTTGATCTTGATTTAGTGGCCAAAGACAGAAAAACAGCTCAGCAAGCAACGCTGGGGCAACTTGGTAATTTGTTAGCCTGTTGACAGGAAATGTTTTGAAGGTATTACGCAAAAAGCAATGCTTATGTGCGTTAAAGATATGGTAGTATGATATCTGTCATGTTTCAATGATAAGCTGTGTTCTTTAAAACTATGCCTTGTGTTCTTGCCTTCTTGCATTAATTTCATTAAACAGACAATTTGATACAATTAGTCTTCACTCTTGTTGTTCAACTTGTTTTCTACATAGATATTCAGTCGTTCTTATACAGAGTATTTCTATGTTACATATATCAACAATCAAAACATACATGCGCATTCAAAATAACATTCACACTTGGAGACCGAAATCCTGAAATAGTTAAAAATCACAATAAATACCATTGACGTGATCTCCGTTCAGCAGAGTTTCGGAAAAAGAAATTCAGTGTAGTGTTACTCAATAAATGTTTAGTCTTTAGTCTGAAACCAAAATGTTTTCACTATAAGAAATCTCAAATAAACATCAAGCCTGTTTTACATATTTTATTCTTTAAGTTCCATAGTCGACCCATCTTACAAGATATCCAGTACAGCACCAATCAATGAATGCTCAGTGTTCACAAATAGCGTCTGACCCTCTGACAAATCCGGCAGATTTGCCAACGGTCCGATAGAAGTCTACAACCCGCCGGCCCCAGTGTCTGACTGTATATTTTACAATGACTTTGACTAAAGTTGTTATATGTGACATGTAACACTTGTTTGTAGTTTATAAATCTTATGTTTGTTAATAATTTCAATGCCAGTTATAAGAAATGTTAAATCTGAAATGTGTGTTTAATTTTATTCTATTGGTCCTGTGAATTTTCAACGGGTCAGACAGACATCTGAAACTTACAGGACCCAATGTCCTGTTACTTTGAAACACCATTCGTGAACACTGAATGCTTTGTCTAAATATCTTCCAGCTTGTGCATGTGTTTTGCCGCAATTTAACAATGATTAAGGTTAATTGATTATTTGACTTATCGTCTAGGTGCATGTTTAAAAGTTGCTAATATGTCCTAACTGCAACGACATATTAATATTAGATTATTTTGAAAGCGCAGTCAAACATATAACGAAGAGAAAAGAGAAGTTCTTTGATTGGTTTCTTACCCCGGACACATCCAATCATATTACAGCATTTACAGGCGTAATAAGGTATCATTGGCCCAGCTCGTGAATATTGATCACATTATTGATCGCGTAGAACTGGAATAATAGAAAGGTAATAGATACTTCCATTGACATTAAATATCAATTGCTTTATTCAAGAACGTTTAGATTCACATATAGATGTTGCATTATCCGTAGACTGGAAGCTGGAACAGCCACATGTATGCTTGAATGTTGGTTTTAGATAAGCATCCAATTTGTCGGGTACTCGGTTCCGAGTCGGGTCTGACCCCTTGAGTACTCGAGTCCCAAAGTTTGGACTCGTGAGGGCCCTATGTAAGAGGCGACTAACGGGATCAGGTGGTCAGGCTCGCTGGCTTGATTGACACATGTCATCGGTTTCCATTTGCGCAGGTCAATGCTCATGCTGTTGGTCACTGGGTTGTCTGGTCCAGACTCAATTATTTACAGACCCTTGCCATATAGCCGGAATATTGCTGAGTGCGGCGTAAAACTAAACTCACTCACTCACTCATCATCAATCTTATCTTTAATGTAATGGATTTTGAGATAATGCAATGTCAGAGATGTAGATGTAGGGGCGGTGAGCTAGCCTAGTGGTTAAAGCATCTGCTTGTTACCAAAGACCTGGGTTCGATTCCCCACATGGGTACAATGTGTGAAGCCCACCTCTGGTTTCCCCATCGTGATATAGCTGGAATGTTTTAAAAGTGGCATAACAACTCTCTCAATCATTAATATTGTTTGTTATTGTCTTTTTTATCATTCTCCTTTTTCTTCTTCATCTTCTGGGGGGTGGGGTAGCCTAATGGTTAAAGCGTTGGCTTGTCACGCCGAAGACCCGGGTTCGAATCCCCACATGGGCACAATGTGTGAAGCCCATTTCTGGTGTCCCCAGCCACGATGTTGCTGGAATATTGCTAAAAGCGGCGTAGAACCAAACTCAGTCTGTCAGTCAGTCTTCATCTTCTCCTTCCGATAATACCACACACATGACACACGAGAGTATGACCATGCATGAGAAATATTTGTAGCTTCTGTCATAATGACTAGTCGAATCTTGCTCTAAACAAACTGCGACATTTGATAAACAACGTGACCAATTTGATTATGCATTAAAGCCTAGTGACATGAACATGACCACACTGCCGTGGAACTGACACCAGAGTCGTGACCTCTAAATGTGACATAACTGACCTACAATTACACTATCGGTATCTTCTTACAGTCCTCTGTACTGTCATGGCTGCTTCACAGGGCACATTATTCGGTAAATGCGTCACGCTGTGCCCTGTTTAAATTAACTGTAATTGTACACGTCAGCTTTCAGTGGAGATCATTACAGTGATTAACATTACTCAGCTCATCAGTATTCATCTTCTTCATCACCATATTTAGGAGGGTGTCGTATCATTATTTGAATTTCAAATGTGAAACTTGACTATAGTGATGATGCTTTTATTACAAAGGGAGGTATTTCAATGGTGTCATCATCATCATCATCATTGTCGTCGTCACCATCATTGTATTTATGATTATGTAAATAACAAGATATGAAAAGGGCCCTTTTTGTACAAAGCAATTTAAATACAAAATTTAATAAATCAGCAAAACTCTTAAGTGTTTTTTTAAAAAGTTGTCTGATGTGTGTGGTTTGAAAACATTTTTGTTCATTTCAGCATTGTGATTTATTAGGCTTAAAACAATAGAAAATAGATGGAGGAATCTGATATGGGAAAAGGCTGATTTTACAGGTACTTAGGAAGCATTGTTTGAGTATTTGTAAATGACCAAGTCTAGGACCCAAAATAATTTTCATAGGAGATGCAGATATAATAAAGAAGAAACAGGCTACTCAGATTATTTCTCACAGTTAGATGTTCACTTGGTGCTGTCAGCCATGGAACATGTTTGATACTTTTTATGTCAAAACCATGGAGTTTTCCATGACTTCTAAGTTGTTCAAATATCACTTTTTTCATGCTCCATCTTTTATAAGGGTATTAAATCTGTTTTAGCTCCTGGCCATGATGATTTCACTTTGTGTCACATATCTTTTATGGCTTTGATACTCTCTTAAGGAAATGACAGAATTATGTCTATCAGTATTATGTCAAACAGGATTATGTCTATGTCGGGATCTGGATGTTGTAGTGTGGCGTTTAAGTTGAGCATAAATGTATAACATGAGACTGAATATGTATTTGTGATTGCATTTTGATTAGTAAAGTGTAAATATTTTAAAAATGTATAATAAAATTGGTGAATTGATAAAGAATACAATAGAAAGAAACAAATTTGTGAAAGTTTTTAAAATTTTAAAAGTGTATTTGTTATTATTGTTACAGAACAACAACCGCGGTGGCTACAATGTTGGGGATGCCACAGACGCACCCTATGGCACTGATGAAGGAAAACAGTACCGCATGGTAAGTCCAAACTAGTGAGTTAACACAGAATCTCACCATTGTCTGTTGTCAGAACTGTAAGACAGGGGTGGAAATAACTTTAAAATTGATAGTGTACTCCGGTACAGTGGCACATGTAAAATCACTTGCCCTGATAACTTTTCCACTATACCGGCCATTTTCTTGTTGATTTTTTAAATAACAACATAATTAACATTGGAATATCAACTGGACACCGGTACATTGTGATATGCAAATTTGCTTGCCCGACAGAAATAACACTGGACTCGGGCGTCAGGCAATGGGTTATTTCCACCCCTGTGAGACTATATCAGACTCACCTGTCTATGACCAGCACAAAACAGAAAAGAGTTCTCTATCTGCATCCGCTGACTGGAATATTGCTGAAATCTCACTCACTCACTCACTCACTCACTCACTCACTCACTCACACACTCACTCACTCACTCACTCACTCACTCACTCACTCACTCACTCACTCACTCGATCACTCGATCACTCGACTCGATCACTGGATCACTCACTGCACTCAAAGTTACTGATGTGTTGGTCGTGTTAGCTGCAACAGATACTAGGAGGTGAATACAATACGTATCATGAATATAGGGTTTCACAAATATTTATTCATGAATACAATAGCAAGTACATAGCTAATGTATGCATATTATATTCAGCGAAACAAAGTTGAATAATCATAAGTATTGGAAGAAACCAGTAATTGACTATTATATGATGTATGGTAATCTAGTTTTCATTACCCTTTTATTTCTCTTTTATGTGTTTTCTTTTTACTTAAAATAATAAAATTAAAATAACCCAAACATTCAGTGAATTTTTTGTACAGCAAACAAACAATATATAGTAATGCAGGGCTCCAGATAACTATTGGGGGTGCGAGTGTACTTACACATCATATTGCAAGTGGAGGTGTACTGAGAATTTTGAAGGAGTACTGACATGTTTTTGTGTGAGTGAGTTGATGGTGTGGTTTGTCTGGACGATTCATCGATCACTATTTCCAACCATGTATTTGTATTTGAAGAGGCGTGAGAAATAACTGAGCGACCGTGTTATGCGCGAAATGTCAGGTCCGACTGGATATAAATAGGAACAGTGTAGTTTTTAGCCAATTGAAAAATAGTGACGCATATCGTTGCATGGCAACGCAAGTGATTCCTACTGTCGGGGTTTCCTCATGTGTCAAATCGTGTTTCACAAAAGAAACTTGACAAGTATTTATCCGAAATAGATTTCCATTTGTACGGAAATTAAATGTTAGATGTACATAGGTATTTATGTGCGTACACGATACGCTTGAAATCTTATATTATGTCGTACTTAATTGATTTTGAGGCGTACATTACGCCTGTACGCCCCTTATCTGTAGCCCTGGTAATAGTGTTGCTTCTAACTTAATACTTTGGATGACACTATCATATAGGGGTCTCGCAAACTGAAACAAGCTTCAAAGCATTATGGAGGGTATATATTCCATTTTGCATATCTCATTTTGAAAAATATCAGACAGGTTCAAATGATAAACACTTAAATATTAAATTCTGGTGGCCATGAATAATGAGCAAAACTTATGAACGGATAATGTCTGATTCATCAAATACACACGTGTGTTGTAACAACCCTATTAGTTTACAACCGTTTCTGACTCCTTTACATCAGGAAGTAAGTGAGTAGCCAATGGTGCTATGACCTCTGCGTGGCTTCCTGTCTGTCAAGCGTGTTGTCGAAGTAGCATGAGCCACTGACCCGATACTACACGACCGGGATATACGCAATTTGTGTCCCAGACACCGACCGGTTTCGTCCTTCATTTCCTACTTTGATACCATGGTTACGAGTTGGTACTGTAAGAGAATAAAAAGCTTCTTAAGGCAGTCTGTGCGTTCAATTTTTCAATGCTGTTATACAGAATATATTCCAACAAGGGAATATCTATTACAAATATTTTGTTTGTCATTGTAACTTGACATATTTATCAATTTGTTTCTAATATCTAACATGAGTTTGGATTTTCTGTTGAAATTTTTGAATTTTTTAACCAAATTTACTCCCTTGTTTTAAAAAATTTCTGGGTCAGTATGACACATGAAATATGTGTTACAGCATAATCAGGGTTGTCTTGACACAATATCAGGTTAATATATAAAACTGAGAGAGTTTAGTTTTGCGCCTCTTTTAGCAATTATGAGTCCAGCGTGGGGACACCTGAAATGGGTTTCACACATTGTACCCTTATAAGGAATCTAACCTAGGTCTTCCCGGCTTTATCCAACTAGAACAAATCTCTACCACCACTAATGTATGAAATATAATAATAAAAGAATGATTTTTAATAATATATTAAATTGAAATATGAATAACAATTTAATCTTTCAAAATTTAAGCCACTGTACACTAATCTAGTTTGATCTCAATGAGTGAGTGAGTGAGTTAATATTTAACGTCACATCGGCAATATCTCAGCCATATCGTGACGACTCAATGAAGAGGATAGGGATAATTATCCTACAAGGATGCTGTGGTTTATGTTCATCCATGTGATGATGGATAATCATGATAACGTCCTACTTTGCACGACGATATGAGAGATGACATCATACCCTCCATCCTATGTTATGAGTGTCAAGTAGGTCTGAATACATGCATGAACAATTTCCACACCGTATATGGTCATTGTTCATCTGTTGTAATGTAACCACACTTGTATAGGATTGTAGAAAAGTTCCTAGAATGCACTCAAGTGTGAAATATGATGTATATCCAACATGCTTGCACTGGTCACCCCCTACTTATATACAGTAGGATATTGTTTTCATTGTGGTTTAAATAATACAAATACTGTTATGTAGTTATAATATCCCTATGTCAGGTACGGTGGGTATCACAATGTTGTCCTTTCAATATGAAGTCGTGATTGTCTGTTGCGGGTATAAGTATGTTGTGTTGCCTGGGGTTATCTTTGTGTTTTGTGTGATCAGTGACCTGTGAACATTATTCATGGAGGAAGAGAAGGAACATGTAGTGTTTATGATATATTAATTATAATGTCAGTCTCACATGGTGTTTGAGTCATTTCTAAAAATATGTCACAAACAATGATATATTACTTCTTACCTAGAACAATATATACAGGGGTGGAAATAACTTTAAAATTGCTAGTGTACTCCGGTACAGTGGCACATGTAAAATCACTTGCCCTGATAATTTTTCCACTATACCGTCCGTTTTCTTGTTGATTTTTTAAATAAACAACATAATTAACATTGGAAAGTCAACTGGACACCGGAAAAGTGTGATATACAATTTGCTTGCCCGACAGAAAAAAAACCACTGGACTCGGACGTCGGGCAATGGGTTATTTCCACCCCTGATATACACTGTATTGTGTTTTGAGACAAGATAATTTGTACTCTTATTTTCTCTGCTAGTAAGCTTGTAGTAATAGTTAAAGCATCTAAGGGAATGTTAAGATAGAAATATTTCATTTAGAATGTAAACTCATATTAAAAATGTCAATCACAGTATTTCCACTGAGAAGGTCAGGATATTGTTTATCTAGAACAGCATTTGATTTAAATATCTTTTTGAAGTCTATAACATAATGACAGATTTGTATATTAAAAGGAATGACTGGATGGTCTGTATTAACATATTGCAGTTGCCATAATGATAAACTTGATCTTGAAACTATATCTGTCATTGATAAGGCTGTTGGAAGTTATTTAGATTTTCTTCCCTTCGAGCCTCACAACCTTACACCTAAACTCCACTGAGATTTTAGAAGGCTCAGCACTGATTGGCTGATTAGAAAGTTCCCCCAACACATCATCCTATGGAGAAGCCCTCAGGTATTCATGCAGAGAGGTATTCGGTTGAGGTTAGAACATTTGAATAACTGAATTTTATCATTAAAGAAACGTATGAATAGATTCAAGTTGAGAGCTGCCTAAATACTCTAGGTACAAAGAGTAATAGTGAAGGTAACACAGTACAACTCATGATAGATTAATATTCAGGGTAGATGGAGGATATACTGTATGTAGAATGAGAATAATCTATGAGAAGTAAAAGTCAAAGTAGAAAATATAATGCAAAGTAGAAATTGTACTACTTGAGGTACAAAGACCATACCTCAAGGTACAAAGACCATAACTTAAGGTACAAAGACCATACCTCAAGTACAAAGTACAAAGACAATACCTCAAGGGTACCTCAAGATCATACCTCATAAAGGTACAAAGACCATACCTCAAGGTACAAAGACCATACCTCAAAAGGTACAAAGACCATAACTCAAGACCATACAGACAATACCTCAAGACAAAGACCAATACTACAGGACAATAAAGACCATACCTCAAGGTACAAAGACCATACCTCGAGGTACAAAGACCAATTTGCAAGGTACACAAAGACCATAACTCGAGGTACACAAAGACCAATAGTTAAGGTACAAAGACCAATACTCCAGGTACAAAGATCAATACTCCAAGTATGTCCTACTGAAGGTATAAAGAATAACACTGAAGTCAGAAGGAGTGTAATGTTTGGTGCTACGAGGACACATTACTTCATACTGTGGGTCTGGGCTGACCCTGTCTATCTATGGCCTAGTATGCCAGTAATGTTAATCCCCATGTATTGTCCTGGTCACACCCAGGTGCTACAGACTCATTATGCAGGTGTACCTGGCATGGTCAGGCCATGTTTGCACAATGTCCGGGACGTGTCACATCCTACCTGTGTCTGCCTCACTGGGCTCATAATATTTTTATAGAAATTGTGTTAGGTATTTCTTGCAGATTTTCACTTACATATGAACTTTGGTGTATGAGAACTTCTTGTTCAACCTGGCTTCAAAGTTTTAATAAATCCTAACAACGTATTCTCTCAGAGTATATTTTCCATAGGCAATCAAATGTTCATGTTTTAATTGAATGGTAACCATTTAAAATTTGGTCTGTTGTTTTATAGCTTTTTAAATTTCGTTACTGGCAAAATAGTTTTCATGTTTTTTAAGGTTTTAACCTTAAGTGAGAAGCAGACTCTTATTCTCAGGATGCCAGGCCTGCGTTTAAAGCAACCTGGCTCAGTTTCAGCTTCTTCTGTTGACAACTTTTATTTTTGTAAAGGCCACACTGTTGATTAACTTCATGAAACATAAATTGAAGTCCAAATATGCAAATGCAGATACATCTCAGCAAATGCTTAGTCAGGGTCAACATAGTTATGTAAAGGTTATATGTTACATATAAGAAAATATAAGAAATGTATTATAAAGATTCATCAACTATTTTAGCATGAAAACATAGTTATTTATTATGTGGAACTGTTAAAACCATACATTGTCAGTATGTGAGAGCCTCCAACTACTCACAGTTTTGAATGTTTGTGTAAGTTAATTAGCTGAGACTAACTACACAGAGTCAAAGTTTGTTTTCCTGATTTGAAACATGTGGATGCTTTTCGAAAAAGGTTCAGAAAGGTCCACCTTTGTTTTCATGCAATATGTCAGCTTACTTATATGTTTTCATTTAGCTCATAATACTTAGTTTGTTTATAAAATGTTGCCCTGAACATGATGACATGATGACGTCAGTGAAATGGAAAGTCAACATTTTTAATTGGAATTTTGGAGAAAATTCATTTAAATTTCTAAGACTCATAACAGGATTAAGAAATACAACCCCTCGTTTTATGCTGTATGGAGAACTAGGAAGATTCCCTATTTAGAATTATGATATATAAATGTTTATTAAACTTTTGGCACAAGTTAACTTACCAAGAAGGTGTTTTTTAAGCTTACCAACTTAATTCACAATTATTTATCACTTCAGAGAACAATAAATATAAAAGACAATCCCTGGCTCTCGTACGTTAAAAATATATTAGACAATACTGGACTCTCGTATCTTTTTGAAAATCCCTCAATTTGTACAACCCAGTGGCTGGTCTCAAAAGTTGAACATATCCTAAAGATCAATTTATCCCAAACTGGCATAATGACATTATTTCTAGTCCCAAGGGAATTTACTATCAGCACCTGAAGCCATTTCCTAATTTTGATGTATACCTCCTCCTTCCAAAACATATTTCTTTACCATTATAGAGATTTAGAACATGTAACCATAGTTTACCTATTGAGACGGGCTGGTGGTATAATATTCCAAGGGACGAGAGAACATGTCAACTATGCACTTCTGAAAACATCACAGATGAATATCATTATATATTTTTCATTGCAAAGCACTAGATATTTTGAGGAAACACTACTTAGCCACTCATCTAACCTCTTTCCCAATGAGGGGCGGTGGGGTAGTCTAGTGGTTAAAGCGTTGGCTCGTCACGACGAAGACCCGGGTTCGAATCCCCACATGGGTACAATGAGTGAAGCCCATTTCTGGTGTCCCCCGCCATGATATTGCTGGAATATTGCTAAAAGCGGCGTAAAACCAAACTCAGTCAGTCAGTCTTTCCCAATGAAACAAAGTTCACGAAAATATTATCTGTAAAAACATCTCGAGACATAGTAAATCTATCACAATATATCCTACATCTGTTTTCTGCCATCTTGAATTTCAATTTGTATTTGTGTATATGTTTACAATATATGCTCTTCGTACCACCAAGGTGGTTTATGAGAATAAAGAATTGAATTATAAAGGATATTAAACTAAATGCACCTTATGAGCAAATTGGGGAAAAAAGTTGGCCAAAGTCATGAAAATTATGTTGTTTTGAAGTTTGAATTTCCTTAAAGGCAGAGGTATTTTAACATTGTAGTTTGAAATAGCATTCACTGCAATTATATGTTATTAAGCATAAAAACATCTTCAGATTTATTAGTATTTTTATCTGTGAAGTATAGGTTTTCTCTATAAATCCATGAAATTAGTAACTAGTTATATATAAACATAATTTTTTATATTGTTAATTCAAATATTGGAACAATAACGTTTGTTATTTAGGGCTGAATGTGAAACCCGAAACACATCCAGATAAATCCTTGGAAATAGTGCTTCTGCTGATATTGTCTTTCCTGTATATTTCAGGCAATTGGTAAAAATACATGTATATGAAATAGCAAGCACATTAGTCAACATTTCCTTCAGCTACGAAAAGGAGGTATTTCTGAAGTTCTAGAAATATGAATGTCTAAACTATATTATTTTGTTGTGTTCTTTCCAGATATCCTTTCTTAGTGTCCCATATTTTTTCAGAAATATTTTCAAAGTGGCCCTGTGAAGACATTGCAGAACGGCGCTGGCGAGAGTAGACTCGTGCTGGAATGGACCAATCAGCATGGGTGTGGGGGGAACGAGGATGATAGTCCCCAGAAGCAGAACTGTGCCCTGATACTCCAGTACCTGTGTCAGGATGATGTTGACACACCCACAGGTACGACCCATGACGATCCGGGTTGGAATTGGTGTTCAGTAACCAATACAATAACACAAGTATTGATCCTCTTTGAGTCAGTGTCAGTCTCTGACTGGTATATCAATGTAATAGTTGAGCATGTTGACTGTAGGTGTAACACTATAAAACAGTCAATTGTCAAGACTAGTGCAAGCACACACACACACACACGCACGCACACCCACGTGTATGTGCTGTATTCTTTACCATGATCTTAAACCCCAATTCCAGAGATGCCAACCCATATGATTTTATCGTATTTGTTACGTAAAAACAACACAAAATACGCGAATATGATAGCACGAAAAATATACACATTTTTAAATATAATACATTAAATTAAATCATCAAATAGCATACGTACCATACACAATAAATTTCAACCACATTTTATTCAGTATCAAGCTATATGTGGATACTTACTACTAATGTAGGTGAGTACAATGTAAAATAACAAGGTCTTAGACAATATATTTACATATTTTATTTAATATGAAAATTCTTTGGAAAAGTTAAAACTAATTTTGGCCCAAAAATACTAATTTTTGCATCAGTTTTTGGCCAAAATACTAATTGGGCTAAATTAGGGTTGGCATTTCTGCAATTCATCTCACCTCTCCTCACTTTATTTGAACTAACCAATTTCATTAAAATCAAATCTTGTTGCAAATTCAGAAAAGGACAAAATAAAATCATTTTAATCATAAGTGTAATCTGATCATAGAATGAAATGACCATTCACAGTGTTGCAAGTTAACCAATGTCATTCAGTCAGTACCAGTAATGCTTTTGAAATCATGGATCCCAAAACGTTCATGATTTTCATCCTTAGGGTTATGAAAAGCTTGTTTTGACCATGGCATGCCTAATTTGGATATCTGACTCTGCATAAACCATGAATGTCATGTTACCATGGCAACTGTCTGCTACAGGTTCTGCAGACACACTGAGGAACGGTGTTAAAACCCAGACTCAAGACTACAAGAAGCCTGACAGTTTGACAGAGTCCAAGTCCGACAGCCAGACCAGGAAGGATAATGCTGTCAAATCTGACCGAGGTCTTCACGAATCCTGGGCCTGGTATGACAAGTGTTATCTTCGGGAACGGAAACAAAGGTAAGAGCGATTGTCAGTGTTGGTAAAAATATATAGGATATTCTACTGTCAGTCTTCACTCCAGATGAACTTATTATCAGACAATATTGTCTGTATGTATCATTTATATATATATTTGAAAACTACTTTATATTTTGATAAATATGTTGATTATTAGTAAATATTCCCATCACCACTCTTTTGGAGTTGTTACAGGAATATCATTGCTATCATTGAATTAGTCCTAAAATGTTTCGGGTGGTGGGGTATTCAAGTGGTTATAGCATTCACTCGTCATGCTTGAAAGCCCAGGTTCGATTCCCCACATGGGTGCAATGTGTGAAGCCCATTTCTGGTGCCGCTCCACTGAAATATTGCTGGTATATTATCAAAAGATGTGTAAAGCTAAACTCATGCACTCACCCCTAAAATGTTTCAATTCCTGTACCCAAAAGCCAGTTTGATAAATTATTTGAGATGTGGAATATTTTAATTGCTAGCATTGATAGTATGAAAAGGCTTAGCTGACTTTTCTGCCAAAGACTTGATTTGTAACGGTATGTCTCTCTATTCCAGGTCTGTTTACTGCTGACCAGAAGCTCAAGACCAACAATGGCCTTGGCTACAGCAGTGCCACCTACACTCGCCAGAACCCTCAGGGAGGTCGCTATGGTTACGAGTGTCCTGAAGAAAGAGATTATTTCCCATACTGGCATCCCACTCCCTGGAAGGATATTGCTGTCATGGCGGAGAATGCGTCCATGTGCAGGTTTGTGGTATTAACATCTTGTTTTTTGTTATTTTTGTTTCTGCTAAAGTATGGTACGAATAAAAAGAAATATTTTGTATAAAGAAATTAAAGGTATTGTTTACAAGGCAATTAGGGTAATTTATGAAAGTTTTGTGTATGGAGGGTTGAGAAGCCAAAGAGTTACCTCCCTTCCCTTATTGGCCTACCCAGTCCATAGTTCGAATTTTTTGTGATGACATGAAAGGAGGCAATAGTTTTCTATGGAAGTATCAAATCTTTTTAAATTTCTAAAAGATTTTCCTCCAAGTTTGTTTAGATGAAATGCAGTTGATCTGACTTCTGAACTCCAGACTCTGGCAGTGACAGTTCGGTTGATCATGTTGATACTTAGTTAGTTCTGTCGTCGTTTTGTTCCAGCTATTACCAGACTCTCAGCTTCAACGTTCAGCCCAAGTCGGAGTGTGTCGAGACGTACCCTGACAACACAAGGTGGCACTTCTCTCGCTGGAACAATCAGGCCGAATGTGAGGCAAATGGTGGACAGTGGGTGGAGCTACACAACTACCTGGAGAAGGCCCCACGTGAGTTGGTGATATATAGGGGAACCTGTTTTATGTTCTGGGCCTTGTTGCACAAAACGTAGCACTATGACAGTTGTAACTCCCTGTTAAAATGTGGGAGTTACAATCACTTTAGCACGAAGATCCCTTAGTTGAATGGGCCACTTGTATCTTGTTTTTATCAATGTTACAGCTTATCTGCACCAAGTGATTTTATTTTGTGAGTTTCAGGCCTGGGAAATTTTATAGTAGTCATTGGGGAAGTAAATATGGAAAGATTTCAGTTGTGTTTTTACCTATCTTATCAACAAACCAAGTTTTAGCAAAAATACCCTAAACCTACTGTGTTCCGTCAGATTCAGGATCTACCTCATTGAGCACTGATGTGTCCATTTCTGTATCTGTGATTACAGTGATGTAAACAATGTAGACTAATTGCTGGAATCATCCAGAGAGATTAAGGTTCCTTTCAACTTTGTTCAGTCCAGTTCAGAAATTTATTTCCAAAGTGTACATTGGCAGTTGTGATATCCATAATGCTTTCCTTTCCAGAATTCACCAGCGAGTCTGCATGTCGGAATGCTCGGTCAGCAGGACTGACATACATCTGGGCAGTTCCGTATGATGCAGAGGTGGTTACTGTGAAACAGTGTCTTGTTCAGCTGAGTCGGCCGGACTGTTCAGAAGCCCCCTGGTCCAGGTGAGTTCATGATGATGATGATGACGATGATGATGATGCGCCGCCGCCGATAATGATGATGATGACGATGATGGTGACGCCGATGGTGATGGTGGTGGTGGTGATGATGATGATGATGATGATGATGATGATGATGATGACTATTGATGATGACTATAAAGTAAGAGTTCCTTTGTGGAATGTTAGCTGTAGTATTCATCATAATAGTGAATTTACGTTTGTTTTCAGGTCAAATCACCTTGGTAACGGTGTTGATGGAGAGCCACTAAACTACACATGGGTGTTGCCACACTTCCCTTCTGGCAAAACAAAACGCTGTGTGTTTAGAATCAGGTAGGGAATGGTGACATTTTAGTGTGATAATTGTGCTGAATATGTTTGTTTCCTTTTATCACGTTGTAAAGTTTGAGACAGAACTACTGTCTTGCTTCCATGCTGTCACCTTTATTAGTAAATCTTACCTTCAGTGCAAAATGAGAGGCATTTGGGTAGTCCATTAGATATAGTGTTTGCCTGTCAGGTACAGTTTGGGGAACCATGTCTGTGCTCTGTACCACCTGCCGCGATCTTGCTTGAGTATTGCTTACACAGCAATAAGGCCATAGTTTTGTATCAATTTCTGATTGACATTGATGTTTGAGTTCACAATTTGTTTTTCGAGAGGGGCTGGTTTTCTATTGATGTTATATTTGATGCTAAAAATATGTTTGTTGTGTGCTTCCAGATACAACATTTCTACCGATGATTATGATCCCTATCACACAGACTCCAAGTACAACGGAAATATGTAAGTGTATGTGTGTGACAGTAGATCATCAGCATGGTGTTACTTGTATTTCAGGGTGGTGGGTAGCCTAGTGGTTAAAGCATCCTCTTCATGCTAAGACCTGGGTTCGATTCCCCACATGAGTACAATGTGTGAAGCCCATTTCTGGTGTCCCCTGCCAGGATATTGCTGAATATTGCTAAAAGCGGTGTAAAACTAAATTCTAGCAGCGACACTGTGTGATACTCGATTCTGATGGGCTGAGAGCTCATCAAAACCGTACTTAAATGGCAGTTTAAGACCGTTAATTAATGTGACCGATTCACCGTGTATGAATACAATGAACTCGTTGACCCTATTGTTTGTAAACAAACATGTCGGACATCGGCAATTACTACCTCGGCAGCATCTTTGGTGTTTTTGAAGTAAAATGCGAATGGTTTGAAGAAGAATTTCTTGACCCTAATCCCAGTGAAGAAACTACAAAGCTGGAAAATCTGTCAGCAGCACAGTGGCAGTATATTCAAACCGGGTTTAGATCTAGCGGGCATGACGTCGACAACACACGTCGGCCCACACGTCCTGACGTGTTCGGTTTTAAATTAAACATTTAGCGGTCTTAAATCAACGATAAAGGACCGCAAAATTGAAAACAGAGTAGCTTTATCTTCTAACTCACTCACTCACTACTTGTATTTCAGGGCATGGTGGGGTAGCCTTGTGGTTAAAGCATCTGCCCATCATGCCAAAGAGCCTTGGTGTCCCTTGACGTGATATTGCTGAAATATTGCTAAAAGCGGCGTAAAACCATGCTCACTCACTCACTTGTATTTTGCACAGTGAGCGTCGTGTTAGTTACACCTGCTTGTCATACCGATGGCTGGTGTTATTGCATCTGCATTAAATTCAGACACTCGATGCCATATGTAACAATGTTATTGTCCCACACAGTGTGGCAGTGATTGGCTTGAAGGGTTTTAGGGATATGGTACTCACCGATTATTAAGACAATGGTTTGTGTATGCAATGGTATTATGACCTGTCAAACAAATCACTGTGCCTGGCTAGATCTGTTCACTTGCCTTGTACAAGCATTTGCTGCAGTGGACCAGTTATTTCTGACTTGTTATGCCTCAATATTCATACATTTTGTTACCTTATCAATCTGATCGCTGAGGTAGTTCATGTTTTGTTTGTATATATCCATTGTTTGTATCCATTGTGTGTTCTGTGGGGGGGCGGTGGGGTAGCCTAGTGGTTAAAGCGTTGGCTCGTCACGGCGAAGACCCGGGTTCGAATCCCCACATGAGTACAATGAGTGAAGCCCATTTCTGGTGTCCCCCGCCGTGATATTGCTGGAATATTGCTACAAGCGGCGTAAAACCAAACTCAGTCAGTCAGTCTGTCAGTTCTGAGGGACTTGGTGAATATTGGGATAAAAATTGGTCTCAGCAACCCATGCTGGTTGTAAAAGGCAACCGGATTGTGTTGTCATGCTTGCTGTCTTGGTTGATACATGACCTATCCCATCTGTGTAGATTGATGCCTTGGAGTGTCTGGTCATCTAGCTAGAATAACGGGAGAAAACTTCAAGCAGAACATGCTTGTTGTCTCTAGTGGTTAAAGCGTTGGTTGATCACGAAGCTGTCTTGGTTTGAATGACCCCACATCTGTGTAGATTGATACTTTGTTGTGTCTGGTTATGAATTGCTGGAATATTGTCATCAAAGTGCTGGAATAACAAAGAAATCCTCAAAACAGAACTAGTGAGTTCCTGACCTTCAAGTTTTTCAACTTTCAGGTCGCCTGTTAAAGGAAATCCTTACGTAGATATAGGTGTTGGTCGCTCCCCACTCCGACTGAACATCAACACCAACCAATACGGCCGGATCTTCCAGGACCGAAGTCACGTGTTCCTCCTCCGACCACGCCCAGCAGGGATGCAGAACGACATCATACATAACCTGAATGTGCATGGCAAGAGCGGCAACATAGTGCAGGTGTATCCGGCGGTTGAGTACGACTTTGTGCCCAACAACCTCCGCATGAAGGCAGGAGAGCTCGTACACATACAGTGGACAGGTAGTAACCTTGGCAACCAACTTAAACTAAGATTATAGTCCGTTTGCTGTTGTACATACACTTGTTACAACAGTCATTAAAACACCAACATTTACATGATCGTTAGTTAAACAAGTTTTCATCTTCTTCATGAACATGTCTGAAATCATAGTGACGAGTTGGTATGGACAAATGACAAAGTTACATGCCATTTAAGACGATTTGTTGCTTTCGAATGTGTAGTTATTTGCCATATAATCATTATGATTTTGCAGCAATCAGACTCTAGTTCCAGGTTCTCGGCAGTCCTTCAAATTTTGATTCAAGTCATTCAGTACCCACTTACAATAAGACATGTATTTTGACTTTAGGATGCTAAATGAAAAATGGTTTTGATGTCAATCTTTCAGGATCCAACACACATAAAAATGGACCGAATGGTGGCGATGGACAGACAGGAGACGATGGTGAGGGAAAAACAGGTACGCAGTTTTCTTGTACATGTCTGGATATAAAACTGTTCCTTTCTTGAAGCAAATTTAAGATAATTTATTAAACACAAAATGGTTTATAATGTGAACAAAAATCCTCTTGGGTTCAATTAAAGAGGCTATTCACTGAACATGCATTCTTTATCCAACACAGCCTGTATGGTCATTTATTAAACATCCAATTTCAAAGTACACTATGTGGAGCCAAATCATTTTCAAGAAGCCCAAATTACATTTCCTCTTACATTACATTACATGTTCATCAGAATGCCACAGGGTCTTTAGGAGTTAAAATTGTCTTACCCCTACGACTATCGTAAATCTTGGTTCAACTATGGGAACTAAGATCATCTGAATACTCTGACTGTCGTAAGTCTATTTTAGACTCAGGAAGTTACAATCGAGGCCTGTTCCTCAAAGCGATCGTAGTGCTATGACTGTCGTATTAAGTCTATGTTAAAGAATGGGAGCTACGATCACCTTAGTCAGTGTTCAAAACTCCCTAAATTCCAAGCCAGACAGCCGGACTGGTAACTTTAAAGAATTACCAGTCCGGATACAAACTTGCCTGTCCGGTTTCAACAATAATAAAAAAAAATCAGGTTTCTGAATACTTTACTGTTTGTAGGCATCGCAATGAACTACATAGCACTAACAGGCAATGCACCGAGTTTAGATAAACTGAAAGTACACGTTGTGATTGGTTATTGTAACATGAACTGTCCAATCGTAAGTAGTTTGACATAATTATCATAATACCTTAAACACCTCAAACTGACGACAAGAGAACCTGTCTGATATTATGAAATATTTACTGTTAAGAGCATTTAATACTGACTCTTCTGAACCCACCATGTATATTTTGTATATATTCCTCTGATTTTATTGTAGCGCACAAGTGAATGGATACAGCCGCATTATATACTACTCACACTTTGCTAAGGAACACAAAAATTCGCAACTTTATTTATAATTCAAAATTGTATCCATTTAAAACTGGATAGATAATGATATGGTAACACATCTTTAGGAAAACAGCCACTTTAAGCTAACCGTATGCACTTGATACATGAGTAACCATAAAAATGGTTTTCATGGCACCAATCAACCATTTTGCAAATCATGGCACGAGTCATTGACAAGTACACAACACCTGTCAATAACAGGTATGGGATCCTCATGATGCAGTAACATACTGAAAACTTGGATCCATGCTTACAATAGGCATGGATATTTAAACCAAATCTGACCACGTATTCTGTTGTATCAGTGATTTGATCCTTAGCAAAGTGTGGATAGTATATAAGTCTATTATCATTATCATTTATTATCATTACTCCATACACATCAGTGCTGCTGGTTTCTGTTTCAGCCACAGACAGGAACAACTTGGTGGAGATCTTTGACAGAAATGACAACTTCCCTATCCCCTTTGAGAAGACCACCATGTGGACAGGGGCGGATATCAAGTGGATCTACCACGGGAAGACATCGGTGTCGTCCAAGAACCTGGCGGTCAATATGGCCTCCTCCGGATACTACAGGTAGCTCATCATCCTCATACTTGGAGACACTGCGACTAACAGGATCGGGTAGTCACTCCTGACTTGGTTGACACAGTCATTGTATCCCAATTGATGCTGATGCTGTTGATCACTGGCATATCTGGTCCAGACTCGATTATCTACAGACCACCAGCATATAGCTGGAATATTGCGAGTGTGGCATTAAACAACAAACAAACAACTGTATTTAATTAGTTTAAAATGATGCTTACTATGCTTCACATTCAGTTCTCACCTGGGGTCCATTCCACAAAGCTGTTGTAACGCTACAGAGTTGTAACTCTCATGCTTTTACTTAGACTTACAACTCTGTTTGAACTCTGATTGCTGTGTAGATTAAGCCATGGAATATCCCTTTCAAAATTTGTGTATCATATTTATACAAGGTTTGCACAGGCTTTGTAATGCTATAAATTTGGTAGCCATTGTTACACTTCTTTAAAATAACACCTTTATTTAGCTATCAGATGAATACCATCACATGTTTTCCAGGTGTATCAAGACAGCTGATTGTTCGGAAGCTGCCCACCGAGACTACACTGTTGAGAGCCGCGACAAGCTACATAACCAGCTGGACAATGCACCAGCCTCCTACGAAGGAGCTGTTGTGAAGTTCAGACAAGGCACATACCATTACATGTGTACACGGAACAACAACTTCACAAACAGGAGCCAGAAAGGCACCATCATTGTATCATAGAGGCAGCTTTATCAATCTTCGTCCTTCACAAGCATTATCGGAGATATTATGGTTTGCTGTATCATATTTACTCACAGTGCATCTTCTTGAGGCAGGGGACTTAACTGACCATAAAATGCAGTTCCATCTTGACTACTAAACAAGACTGGAATTTCCTGGTCTAAAGCGTTCGCTCTTCACGCCAAAGACCCGGGTTCAATTCCCCACATGGGTACAATGTGTGAAGCCCATTTCTGGTGGCCCCCACCATGATATTGCTGAAATAAGCTAAGAGCGGCGTAAAACTAAACTCACTCACTCACTTTTGTTTTTTATTTGGGGAGGGGGACTGTGGGGTTGTGCAGAAGTGTAAGACAGTTATTGGTACTTTTTAAACACAATCATAAGAAAGATTTTTTACCACAATTTTTCTTTTGTTGTGGAATAATTCTCATGTTTTGATCCATGTTTGAGTCATGCTGTCCATCTTGTTCTTTTGATCGTTTGAGATTGTTCTCCACATCTATGTATTTACATATATAAGTACTGAGCACCATATCCAACATTATAATTACCTAGCTACTTCAGGGTTTCGATAAGTCACAGCTTCTTGAATATACCATTCAACATTTGCCAAGGAACTATATTGTCATATTTATCAAAGATGTGGTCCTTAGCAAATATTGAACAGTATGCTTGCATCCTTATTTTGAAGTATGTTCAACTTCTGAGGATTTGTGATGAAATACATCACAGATATGTCTGGAGATGAAATCTGTGTCTTAACATATTATGTACAACTGAAGTTGTTGTTTTTTAAACATATGGATGTCTCATTAAGCAGGGTCTCTGACATAGACAATGATGAGTTTTATTTAATGTATGATAAGGGATGGTTCATAATTTATGGCTAGAGGGGGTGATGATGATTTTTATGGAGAAACACATTCGATGTAAATGCCCCTTAAAAAGTAAAGTAAGTGCCCCCACTGCATGTCATCAATGGTGACAAACATGGGTGACCCCCGTCCCCCAGAACAAAAATAAAATCATCACCCCATCAATTATATCATGTCTGATTGTTGATTTGATTAGTTATTCCCCAAATTAACAATGTTTCAAGTCTACAGCTAGTTAGGTCAATGTGAGCTGATCAAATGAAAGAACACAGGCACATGGTAGGTTGGTAGGTTTGTTGTATGACGCCCTACTCAGCAATATTCAAGCTATATGGAAGCAATCTGTAAATAATAAAGTCTGGACCAGACAATCCAGTGATCAACAGCATGAGCATCAATCTGCCTAATTAGGGCACAATGACAGGTGTCAACAAAGTCAGCGAGTCCAGCCACTCAATCCCGTTAGTCGCCTATTACGACAAGCATGGGTTGCTGAAGACCAATTCTAACCCAGATCTTCACCGGTCACAGGCACATGGAAGTTGCTAGTCTTACAATTTAATGCAAGTGCATTAGTGCCATATATAATATTAGCAATAAAGTATGCAATGCCAGTGATCAATATTGGTGATATTGGTTATAAGTGTGTTCATAACTTGGGTTTTAACTCATGTGAAAACAGATTATTGAAGTGTCTTATGATCTTTTAAAAAGCTAATAACAAGTTTCAGTTTAAGCCCTGTTACCTAGTGTTGGGAATCGGAAACCAAATCCACTATCGATTATCGGAGGATTGTGGTGAACGATTATCGATTACAATCGAACTATATACATTTTTAATGTAATCACCAATTTTAAGGGTTTTCCCCAGTTTTTTTCTTCTAATTAATGGGTTTTTTTTATAACTAATGCTGTCATGCAATGAAATGCACGCATGCAAGAAAGACACTGGAATTGTAATTAAACAATAAAAGTGGTTAAAATTTTACAATGTGCATAGCTTTACGCTGTTGAGCGCATGTTTGTTTGTGAATATTTGTCAAATTTGATGGTTAGTTTACTTCATTCAAGGGTGTTATACAAAATCAACAAAATTCCGATTAATCGAAAATATGGTTTTTACAATCGCTAATCATTTTTAATCCTTCTTTCGATCGATTTCGATTATTTTCGATCATCGGAACATCACTAATGTTACCTGCAATATATGTATGATATATTACCCACAGCCATATTAAGTATATCCTAAATTAGATGCTGAAATTTAAGATACCGGTACTGATAAAACCTACTGTGATGTTTTTATAATTATTTTCTATTTCTTAAATGTTTGAATGGTATATTTATGTTTGAGTAGGTTAGTGTTCAGTCTGGAAGCAGTAACGGCTATGACATGCAGCAGGACTGCATATAGCAATAAAGGTTTGTACACATCTGTTAGAGATATGTGGAAGTTGAATAATATTGATGTGTATCATGTATGTATCTGTGTACCAAATGTACCTCTTTCTGTGCTGTGTATTTGTTCCACAAGTTCCATGTGTTTACAAGCTGGCAGATATATTGATATTTTACGTCTCTGTTTCAAACAGGGTTATGCCTGTTGAGGATAGTCATCATGTTTGTATCTGTGTATTTGTGTACCACATGTATGTGTTTACAATCTTGCAGATCTATCGATATTTTGCTGCTACGTTTCTAGTTTTGAACAGGGTCTTACCTGTTGACGATAGTCATGTCTCGTCTCTGGGTATGTTACTGCTAATTGTGATTTTCTTGTTTATATTGTACAAGTCTCTATGCAATGGAAAATGTACACTGCAAACATTTGCACCATGCATAATGAATGTGATTTAATGTCTGAGTGCCAGAATACTTCCTTTAATGTCTCCAACAGAGTAATCTCCACAATAGATATTTGCTGCATTGTACATGATTGTAGTTGCTAATTGCAGATAAGCCGAGGTCCTAGCTTGACCCTTAAAATCAGTATCACATAAGCCAAACCATCAACTTTTGGACATCTTCTCATCGTAATCAGTCATCGGAAATAGCCTACCAACAAATCTGTTTTGAACTGGTCCTCAAAAGTTGGCTTATCTGCGGTCGTATACGTTATATTACTCAAAATAGGATTAACTATCGTAAACTGAAAGAATCCCTTAACTTCCCGTGTTCCTTAACTTCTTTTGAGAAGTGTGATTCTTCCCAACTATTGGCTACAATGTATGTAACTGTAGAGAGTGTTGTCACAAAACAATATTTGTGATTGTCTTGAGGATTTATAATGCACACAGGAGATGCTTGCTGATAAGCTAGTGCACATGAACCCTGAAGAGCAAAGGTTAGGGGGAAATGCTCCTGGGGGAAAAACTTTTGGGGGAAAGAGGGGATGTACCCCTGCTTACAGTCCTAATGATATGTCTGTTGGCGCTAGTCTTGTTTTACATTTCAAACCAAGTCAGTTTCAGGTGCAAAATGCTCAGTATCCAGGTCAGTGTCATTATAAGACGAGTATATGGATGACAACTTCCTCTTTATTGTATAACACAACGTACAGGGCTACTTCTTGCCCCTTCTTCAGGTGATTAAAGACAGATGTACAAAACATACTATATAGAGAAGTACAGGAATGTATATACAATGAATCAGAGAGGACCAATCAAAAGCAGTTATAAAGCCAAAAACAATGATAATAGGGATAAAGTAAAGCCAGTTGACTATATACAAAACAATGAGGATAAGGACATGTGAATACAGCTAATGAAGTGATAATTAGATTTACAGGAAGCCAGAGATGTACATCTATTTAAGAAATATGGAGATGATGACATCACTTCAGAAATGTAACTATGTAAATTGGTCCAGTGTCTGAACCTAAAACTGAACAGAACACTATTTTGCCCTGAACTATTATCAGTTAGAATGTAATACGAGGTGCACAGTGCAAGAGTGTTGGCGTCCGCATTGTTTTCAACTGGAATACATGAATGTTTCTTATGGATAACAATATTCTCTATACATTTCAGAGGTTCCTTCATCAGGTGAATGTGTCATTCCAAGCCATGTTGTTTCTCACATCAAGATTTCTCCTACACTATGATGATTATATGTGATCAACAAATGTATACCAATCATGACAAGTTCAGGATCATCATTTTTTCATATTACTGTAGTTTTAGTTTGGCTCAAAAGCGGACCGATGAATTGCAATCTAACTCGAAAACTACTAAACATATAATACTCAATGAAATGCTGATCATAATCAAAACATCAGACCAACTCCGTGATTTTTTTTGCACAATTTATGTCCTGATAATAAGAAAGTTGTTTAAGAAACTATCATTAAAATATTTACACAGTTCACTGTTTGTTACAAAGGAGGTGTGCAAAGAAAGGGACAGCCAGGTGTGCGAGAAAGGATGGAGAGTATAAACTGTCATGCAGTAAAGTGTAGTGCTATGAAAAATTGGGATGATTTTTAACTTTCATTGAATTCAGATATTTCTGTATTAGTACTTGTTTTAAGCTATGGTCAAACTGATTTAATCAAAATCTGCATTTGACATGGGATTTTGGTGCAGTTGAAATGAATTTCTCGGATGGCTAAGAACAAGACTTGTTTTACTTTATGGTGTGGAGATACTTGTTGGGTTTTATGTTCATCATCTGAATAGTTCATTCCACATATCATGTTGTTTATACAGTCTGCGGGTACAGACTGGAGGATGACAAATAAACATGTATTTCCAAAACTGTCTTTGTGCTTTTACTCATGTGATTCACGAAATTCAGGGGGCGGTGGGGTAGCCTAGTGGCTAAAGCATTCGCTCTTCACGCGGAAGACCCGGGTTCGATTCCCCACATGGGTACAATGTGTGAAGCCCATTTGTGGTGTTCCCCGCGGTGATATTGCTGGAATATTGCTAAACGAGGCGTAAAACTCAGCACACTCACTTACTCACTCACTCAAGAAATTCAGCTGGAGAATCTGCAGTTAAAATTTGGCAGCAATGTTAATCTACCTGCGTGTGCGTGCATGCTTAATCATTGAGGTGTAATGGGGGTTTCATTAATCACACTCAACACAGGCGATCACCTCCGGAAACGAGTGCTTACCCGTACTGTTAGTTGCAATACTGATTCAGGTCTTTTAAAGACTATTAACCTCTGATAAACCTTCGCAATATATATTCGTTGAAGATTGTTTTGTAGATGTGCTAAAATATGTCTTACACGCACACATGCATTCACGCGTAGACTCACGCAAGTGCATCCATGTCTTGTAACTGCAATAATTTAAAAGCAAGATGTTTAATTCCAATTCAACTCACCTGTTTAGTTTAGAAGGTCCATGCTAACAAACTACCCAGCTTATGATTCCCTGGATTAAAGGTATTTTCACACTATTCAAACCTTCGAAAAGGCGACCTAAGGTTCCTTAAGTGAAATATATTTTTGAAATGTAATTACTGAATAATCAATAAAGTCATTCAAACGATCAGCAAACGTACGTCACTCATTGATTCAGGTCTTTTAACTTAAGTAGATCTTAAGTTTAGGTTCGGGTCGGTGGGGTAGCCTAGTGGTTAAAGCGTTCGCTCATCACACTGAAGACCCGGTTCGATTCCCCACATGGGCACAATGTGTGAAGCCCATTTCTGGTGTCCCCCGTCGTGATATTGCTGGAATATTGCTAAAAGCAGCGTAAAACTAAACTAAGTTTAGGTTCTTCAACATAACAATTACGCTATTCATAGTGCTCGTGTTGAATTGAACATCTACATACGCAAAACAAATCTTCAGACATTTAGAAATGAAAATATCCATTTTCGTGTTCTTTGTCCCTTTATCGATAATTGCATTAGAAACTGACTCGTGTCGCAGGATATGGCTGAAATACTGCCGATGTGACTTC